TCTCCTTTCCCCACTGCCCTTCTCCTGCTGCCCCACTGCTGGTCCCATGTTGGGGCACATGAGAGATCAGCCTTGTTTCCCTGCTGATGATCAGGAGGGAGAGCCGAGACTGAAGAGGTTGAAAAGTGATGACAATTTGCTCTGAGTTTCTTGTCCCCTCCCTGCCAAAAGTCAGAGGGCAAAGTGAAAACCATTTCCAGATTGTGCCTTCATGGTCAAATGGTATTCCTGTGTGGTGAGAATTTCTAAGGTGGAATGAGGAAGAGTAAAAGCCACCCATAGGAGAGCCCTAAGAAGAGACCCTCGGTCAGGGACATTAAATCAGAGCCTTTGGGCATCCTTGTGTCAGATAGCTGGTCTGCCCCTCAAGAAGGAAACATCAGTGACACAGGGACATTGTTCTTTCTTCACAGGAATGACAGAGGAGGAAATTGTAAGATCCCTGTTTTTCAGCTTGAAGAAGAACTTCCAGCAGCTCTCTGAAAGTATTCAAAATGTTGTAGAGGAAATACAGGAATGGCCCGAGACTACAAAGAACGAGCTTGAGCTTCTCAGAGCAGAGCTGGAGAATAAACTAGGTGAGCAGGGCCATTGCCAATCAGGCTTTCATCCCTCTGAAGGCAAAAGCTGCTCTACAGCCCAACCACCCTGTGAGCTCATCCTGCTCAGCTCCTCAGAGGGGATGGGGAGGGACAATCCTTACGTGGGCAGAGGCCCACAGAAGGTGACTTCAGCCATGGGATGCACCACCCCAATCCATCCCGTGACCAAAGTCAGCTTTTCTGGGCCTTCAGCTTTTGTGATCAGTTCCACTGACACATCCCCATGCTGAAGTGTTCTCTGCAACAGCCCTGGTGGGGCACATCTGGAGCTCTGTGTCCAGTGCTGGGTTCCTCAGTACAAGAGAAACACAGAGCTCTTGGGACAGGCCCAGCTGAGGACTACAAAGATGATCAGGGGCCTGGAGCTTCTCTCTGGTGAGGAGAGGCTGAGGGAGCTGAGTCTGTTTGGTCTGGAGGAGAGAGGCCCAAGGTGGGGTCTCATCAATGCACTGAAGTGTTTGAAGGGTGGGTGTCGGGAGGATGGAGCCAGGCTCTTCCTGGTGGTGCTGAGTAATGGGATGAGAGGCAATGGGCAGAAACAGAAACAAAGGAATTTCCACCTGAACATGGGGAAGAGCTTCATCACTGTGAGGGTGACTGAGCACTGGAACCGGATCTGAGAGGTTGTGGAGTCCCCTTCTTTGGGGATATTTACAATCCAACTGGACATAACTCTGACTAATGATCTCTAGGAAGCCCTGTTTGAGCAGGGAGGTTGGATGTGAAGACCTCAAGTGGTCCCTTGCAATGTTACCCCTTTGGTGATTTGTGAGGGTGGGAGGGGCTTTTTAATCCTCTCTCCTATTTCCTCCCAAGTGACAGAACCCCAAGAATAGCTGGAGCTGTGTCAGGGGAGGGTTAGGGTGGAGATCAGGAGAAGGTTCTTCCCCCAGAGGGTGCTGGGGCACTGAACAGGCTCCCCAGGGAATGGGCACTGCCCCAAGGCTGCCAGAGCTCCAGGAGCCCTTGGACAGCGCTCCCAAGGACAGGGTGGGATCGTTGGGGTATCTGTGCAGGGCCAGGAGCTGGATCGATGATCCCTGTGAGTCTCTCCCAGCTCAGGATATTCTATGATTCTGTCATTCTTTCCAGAGCCCATGTGCCCTGGAACCTTGGGAGGTGGCCRCTTCAGGGAGAGAAGGACCACAGGAGTGTGAGAGCCCCAGAGGAAGAGCTTAAGGGCAAGGCCAGGTCCCCTTCCAGCAGCTCAGGAGTGCCCAGTCTGTTCTGGCGTGGCTTTGTCCTGTCAGCCCCAGCTTTGCCATGAACAGTGTCCCTTTCCTGGACAAAGCAGCTCAGGACCTGGACCATTCCTACTCCACTGTGCTCTGGGGTTGTGTCCTCTTAGGCAGTGAAAGGAGATCCGAGACTTCTTGGTCTTTTTGAAGTGAAAAAGGCTCAGTGTCACTACTGGGACAAGGTCTCCCCTCAGGGTGGGCAAGATCACTGTCCCAGTGCTGCTGGTCCTTCCTAAAATATATGTATGTGTAACAAGAAAGACAAACAACAACAAGACCCCCCAAAACCAGACTTTTTCCCCCTGACAGGCGGTTTCCCCTTGGTGTAGTTACAACCCCGCTGTCGATTCAGGTGGCTTCAGGGGGCAACCAAAGCAAGCTCTGAGCCTCACCAGGGGTAATGGCAGCCCTGGGAAGACATCCCAGCACAGCCASCTTGTTCCCCTGCAGCTAAACAAGGGCYCAACCCTCACTTTCCCTCCCTGGAAGATTTCAGTGGAATGCTAGAGTCATTGGCCAGTTCTTTGGTATCTTAATTGCTGACTATTTGTTTCCCTGACGTTAACCCCTTCTCACARCATCTTTCTTTTAAGTAACAGATGGGGAAAAATTCACTGAAAAACYCAAAYSCACAACATGCAGGAATTTTATACTTGTTCATGGTAAAATTTTGTTGTTGTAAGWTTWGTCCAGGGCYGTGCAAAGCCATCCTGTGTGCATTATTGCTGCATAAAYCTTGYAAGAATTGTCTGTGCTTGTGCAGAAYTGTTCCACACATGTTTTAAGCAATGCRTTTTGTGGAAGTGTGACTGATAGTGTGAATGTGTGACTGAGATGTACAAGTAAGTACAAAGTGAGTTTGGAGTCCAGATCTGCAGTTCTGTTGTTGCAGCCAGAGAAGGACAAAGCGATAATGTTTTGTGTGATGGTTGATCAGCTGAGTGGAGAAACTTTGCAAAAAGCTCTCTCAAATGAGTATTGACTCATTGTAAAGATATTGGTAGTTCACGTGGAGAGGATGTGACTAAGAAAACTTTCTAAAAATACTGTAATCAGTAGTGCCCATTGTATAAATTAGGTAACGAAGAAAAGTGGCCTTTATTTTATTATAAATTAGACTACTTTGCTACAACTAATACTGTTTTTGAGGAGTGAGGGAAAGTGGGATAAAGTTATGTATGCTGATATGTTTTTCACTTTGCAAAACCATTCTGAGTGGCAGAAGGAATGTGGCTTTAATGTCCCTCCACAAAATTCGCTTGTGTTAGTATTAGAGAAGGAACAGAGAATAGGAGAATAATACTTTCATTCTGCCAGTAAAAACCTGATGGTAGGAGCTATAGATTACTGCAAGATTTAAGGGCAATAAACACAATTGGGGAGGATTTGTACCCAGTGGTAGCAAATCCCGATACCCTGTTAACCAAGTTAAAAGATAATCAGGTGTGGTTTATGGTATTGGATTTAAAAGATGCCTTTTTCTGTTTGGCTTTAGCCAAAGATAGTAAAAAGCTATTTGTTTTCAAATGGGAAAATCCAGATACAGAGCGAAAGAGCCAGCTAACCTGGACAGTGTTACCCCAAGGTTTCAAGGACAGCCCTACCACAAGCCCAGCAACTGGGACTTTACAAGAGAACTGTTGCTTACTTCCCTAAGCAACTGGATGAGGTAACAAAGGTTGGGCTGGGTGCTTGCAAGCCAATGCAGCCGTGGTTCTTAACATTCATGAGACCTGCAAATCCACTGTGGGCCAGAAAATGACTTTCACAGAGTCTCCATGGTGTTAGAGCAGAAAAGGAATCACTGGCTTTGCYTTCTCAATTCCTGAAGTATCAAGTTATACTGGTAGATCAAGATGATGTTAATATCATAAACACAAATATTGTAAACACAGTGTGTTTTCTCAATGGAGCTACTTCGGGAACTGTAGCCCTGACTGTTTGGAAACAGTTTACTGCAGCAGACCTGAGCTTAAAGAAAAACCTCTGGAGGATGCAGAGGTTCACAGCTCGCAGGAGCTTGTAAAGTCAGGGACTCGTAAGGCAAGATATGCGGTGAGCACTGCCCACAAGGTAACCGAGGCAAAATCTTCACCTGCAGGGCCATCTGCACAGAAAACAGAAATCATTTTCTTGACACGAGTGCCGGAATTTGGCGTAGTGCATGTTCACGGTGATGTCTGGAAGGAAAGGGGATTGCTTGCAGCTCAAGGTAAGCAAATTAAACATGCTGAAGAAATTTTGTGTCTRTTGGAAGCTGTAAATTTAGAGGAATGGGTGGCAACCATGCACTGTAGAGGCCGCCAAAAGGGTGACACTGCACAGGAATTAGGAAACTTTGGCAGACCATGGGGCCAAATGGGCRTCAGAAGAGGCTCAGACTGAGGCACTAGCTTTGATCCCAAATGGCAAACCCATGGATCCAGAAACACAATACCAGCACTTAAAAGGGGCTATGAAGCTGGTGAAGGATTTAGAAGCAAACAAGCAGGAAACCCTTTTTGTTACACCTGATAATCTGGTTCTCATACCCTCAAACGTATTGTGAAAGGTAGTCGTAGAGGAACATAATAAAACTCATTGGGGATGCTTTGGATGCAGATTCGACTAATGGATAACAGGCTGTAAGCTATATACCATTACCAAACAGGTCACTCAGCAGTGTGAAATTTGCCAGAAAAATAGTCTGTGGCAATTACATACCCCTTATCGTCCATAGGTCAGTGGAGAGAAAATTAGCCATTTAATCACACAGCAATTAGCAAAGATCTGTCAGGAAACAAATTTTCATTGGAATCAGGCACTTCCACTTGCCCTGCTCAGAATTAATGTCAAACCATGGTGTAAGGAAGGCCTAAGCCCATTTGAAATGTTATATGAGCGGCCTTATGAGACTCAGTATAGGGGAGAAGCCATTGGCCAAATAGGAGAAAGATACTTGATATGATATGTAATAACTCAGGGAGAACAACTGAACAAAATTAATAAGGGGGTTTTTGAAACTCAGGCTAGAAGTTTGGATCAAGCAATTCGTTGCTTTAACCTGGAGACTGGGTATTTGTTAAGACTTTTCCAGGTCARTGTCTGGAAGAGAAGTGGAATGGACCACACCAGGTGCTTCTGACAACCCTCATGGCAATCAAGATCAAAGATCAACCTTCCAGGATTCACCATTCATGAGTTCTCAAAGGAACATGGACGTCAGAGCCAGTAGGAACAACAACCTTTAAGTTTTCCGGATGCTGACCCTTGGGGTTCCGATAAGTATCATAATTCTGACTCGAGTCTTTGCCTTAGACTGGTCATAGTCCCACACTCACATCAGATATTCCAGTATGGCCAGGGAAAATCTCACCAATTTAAATTTGGCCACATGGTTATGCACAGAAATGAAATATACTCAAAACATGATTGGAAGAAGAAAAATGGGCTTAGTATTCAAACTGAATAATTGCTGAAGAAATACAGAGAGGGTGTAGAGGAATCAATACATCTCCCCATGGAAAATTAACTTTTAACTCAAATCACTGTAAGGGATTTTATAGAACATAATAAATGGAAAGTAACTGGTCAGTCTGTTTGTGCAGCCAGTCAGTCCTGGCACAACTTTACCTTAGATAAACCAGTTTCCATTGTATGTCCTTGGGCTACTGGAAAAAGAGCAACATATTTGTCATTTTGAAATATATCCAAACAATTATCTGGAAACTGTAATTGTCTGTGTAGGTACAGGATGTGCTTGCATGAGGACTCTTTGTGATATGTATGTAGATAAACATAGAGTAATTACTAGCAATCACTCTAATATCAAAGTTGCCTTTGCAACTTTGTTAGTATTGAGACAGGGGTTGATCAATAGTTAACTCACATAAGCAAGAGTTAACTATTAAGAGTCAGCAAATGTCAATCACAAAACSTAAGAAGCAGGATTCGCCTTAATCTTGTCAAAATAAGAGGAACTGGACCTGTTGAAAACCAACATGGAAACCACTGAATCAGCCAATGAAGGACTGCACGTGCTCCAGAAAAAAAGGGTGAAAAGTGCATTGTGATGAAGACTACCAGCCTTCATCAGAAAGAGCCTGAGCAAGAAGAGGAGCCTTCCTCAGCGTGACCAGCAGGGTACACAGCACATGCATGGCACATATGCTAATACTATTAATGACTTCTATATAACCTTGCCTATCCCAAGGAATATGATGAATATTCATTAATTTTATCCTTAATACTATGCTGTATGGAGTCCTGGGAGTGCCTGTTAGGAGGAGCGATCCCCAACACACCTGGCGCCAAATAAAGCAAATACCCGCTTGTCTGACTCGGTCTGTGAAGTGTCCCTTGGCTCAGTTTGGGACATTCAGTGGTGGTGCTGCCCTCAGCCAATCCCCAGAGAAAGAAAGGAACGGCTTTCAGTGCTGTTTTCAGCGTTGTTTCACTCACCCTGAGCTGGCAGCAGGAGGCTCTTCTTGCCTTTGCCTCAGGAGTTGCAGATCTCGGCTGCTGCTGCCCCTCTTCTGGCTGCCACCTGAATTTTATCAGTAAAACTGCAATCGCCTCTTTAAATCAATGCTACCAACGGTGCTTTCATGAAGGTGAACTCAGTATTTTTGTCACAGGCATCATGATTAGCAGAGATTTAAATGCTCACAAGTCCCTGAGCAATGAGTGGAGGAGAATTAAAGCCACACAGGCCACATTCCCAGCGCTCAAACACTGGCCTGTTGCTGGTGCTGTTGAAATTGAATCAAATGGCAGAGGCCATCACAGAAACTTCCTCTGGAGTGTCAAATAAAATGAAAAAATCCACCAGGAGAAAGAAAACCTAGCGGAACCCGAGCCCATCCAAGGGGTCTCCCAGAGTGTCCTGGAGATTGTTTCTCTGAATTCAGTCACCGTTTCATTCCCTAACAAGTCCTGGTACTACCTCCTGTTTTCTTAGATTATAAAAGTGACAATGAAAGCCTTACCCACAGCACAACTGTCCAGCCCACGAGGAGAAGAAAGGACAAATTGTAAAGTTCTCCAAACATTTGTCCTGCTTTGCTGCAAGAGTCATACTGCACACAGAGTGGAAAGCCAAGAGAAGCTGCAACTGGTGGCACATCTTGTGATGACAGGARCTCCACCTCATTCTCCAGGAATGGTTCTTGAAAAGAGCAGACAGGAATGTGRAGAAGATTCCTGGAAAACTGAAACAGCTTTCCAGAAGTGAAATGAAAATGGAAGGAAATGAGCCAAGATGTTTTCTTCTGTTTATTTTTATGCATTTCTTGGATTGCATTTCTGGTACATAAATGCACAAAAATCACTAGGTCGTAAGTTAAAAAATTACATTTATTCCAAAATTCAACAACCACACTGCTAATTAATGTACAAATATCAATTTAAGTAGAACAAAATAGACTTATTACAGGAAGTTACAATTATATAGTCTGATTACAACTATAAAAATACCAATATATCAATATAGAAGTATATATATTTAAATAGATAAATGTATTATTGTATATATATATATATAAATTTTACATATAACTGTATATTTTAAATCTTAGTATTTATAATTATATATTTTTAACATGTAAAATTTAATATACTAATTATATGTAAAACACCAATAATTCTATGTAAATAGTCCACCCCTATAACTAAATATAAAAATGAAAACTCTATACAGATTTATATATTGCTGTATACATTGAAATCATAAAAATATACAGACATAAACATAAATGTAAATTAAAGATCATATAATACATATATAAAGGTATACATAGACCTCCTACACAAAAATATACAAATAGCAATATATAATTCTAAATATCCATGCACCTGTAACTCAATCAATATAACTACAGTGCATTAAAACTCTATACACCCTAAAAATACAACTAAATAGAGACAAATATAAAAAGATGCATAAATATACTGGTATAAATGTCAATCTATCTAAATGTCCCTGTATGTATATAAAACTAGATATAAATATAATCAGAGGCGTTCCAGGTTCCAGGGCAGACAGGATCCGCCTCAATCTCTTCCTCCCGTTCAGTGCAGCCCTCCCGGACAGGGACAGCAGAGGGGACATCTGGAAGCAAAGGGAACACTGAGTCAATATGGGGACGTTTCCCTGGGCAGCACCTGCCCTTGGATGAGGGAAGAGAAAATCTCAGGGGCTCCCCGGGAGGGCCAAAGCCCACGCCACCCTCACCCCCAGCCGGCCTCACGGGCCCTGTGGCCTCACCCAGGCTCTCGGCTGGCAGCAGCAGATCCGCGTTTCCTGCTGTTGCTGGTGGCCTTCAGCTTCTCCCTTCTGGCTCTCACTGCTCCTGGTGTTCTTGAGGACTTCAGGGCAGCTGAAGTGGCAAAAGAGGACATTCTGGAATTGGTTCCAAGGCCTGGCAGAGATGCAGTCCTGGACCCCTCAGTGCTCCCTGCTGGCCCCTCCATCCCCTCAACCCGCCACCCCCTCGCAAACCCACAGCCCCCCCAGGCCCTTCAGAGCCCCACAGTCCTCTCACCCCGCTCAGTCCCTTTAGACCCATCCGCTYCCCTTACACTCCCACCCCCTTCAAACTACAACTTCCCCAGCAACACCATTGCCCACAGCTTCCCTAGAGCTTCTCCAGCACCTCAACATCACTGTTCCTTTATGTCACCTCTCCTCACCTCCCTCAGACCCCTCTGTGTCACCTCTGTCCCTCAGCAGCTCCTCAGGTGACAGCTCCTGGGGCCACCGGCAGCTCCCACCGCTCCAGGGACAGCCGGGGCTGGAACTGCTGCTCCGTCCATCCCGGCCACAGGCTCGGACCCAGCACAGGAAGAGGGGACAGAGGGGAATGGGGCAGAAAGGAAGAGGAGAGAGAAGAAACAGAGCAAGGAAAGAAGTTAGTATTTAGTCTATAAAAATATCTATGTATCTAATACCTGATATACCTCTAAGTATATAAATATTGCTCTACAAATTTATCAGTATAAATATAGGCATATATTAATTAAAATATTCAGATATAAAAATGTAACTATCCATATCTATAACTACATATATAGATTATACATAGCAACTATATGTATCTGTAACTACATATAGAAAAATACATGTGTCTTCAAGTACTTTTCTCAATTTAACTATACATATCTATAAATATATCCATATAGGCATATAATGATAACTATATACATCCGTGCTGGGTAAGCCACATAAATTTGATAACCTGCAATTGTTCTGGCAGGATCTGGTGGCAGGTCTAAATCCTCAGCTGATGCAGCATGAAGGTTCTGGAACAGGGGAGCTGTGTAGCAGGAAAAGAAGAAAGGAGGCAAAGGGAAGACTGAGTCATTGTTGGCCTTCATGTATTTCCCTTTAGCAGCATTTGTACTTCCATCACAGATTTTAAAAGATGGCCTGAAAGGCACATTCTCACTTGGGAGTTTGAAGCCTGCTCTTTCAAATCTGTGTCAGGTACTGAACTATCCCAATAAAGTCTCAGCACTCGCAGTGCAAATGGCACCACRAGAGCTTGAAACACAGGCAGTCCCAGCTCACACAAAGAAGCCCAGCCTTGTTCTTGCTCTGGGCTGACAGAGAACCCTCAGTCCTCACTGAAATGGCTGAAGCTGAGTTATGAACCAAACTGGGACACCCGGCTTGGTGACACAAGTGCCCCAAGGTCAGGTTAATTCACTGCTCTCTTGCCACAGCGCAGGACTCGGTGTCAGCGCCTCTGGAGAAGCGTGGAGGGCAGGGCTGGGGGAGGCTGTGCCAGTGCAGTATTTGAACTAAAGGCACCAGGGAGCACTAACCCTGCACACAAGAACTCAACTCTTGTGA